TTTCCCCAGATTGAGTTGTTGGCTGTTCATTAGCTCTAGAACTGAGTAAGGAAAATACCTGCGTGCTGAAGATAAGCTGCCTGGTAGTGGCATTCAGCACTGAGTTTCATGCTAATTTTGAATGTTTCTCTTGATCTGTGTGAACCATTTGTATAGTTGCTTGGTGACACATTTTTATTGTGTATTATCAGAGAGATAGCTTCTGGGAGTCACCAGGGCTCATCTAGAAAGAGGCACTTCATGACATCAGTGCTAGGTTTTTAATTACAGAGGCACCTCGGGTGACAAGCAACCTCCATCTATGAGCATTTCAGGTAACGAGGAGCCACTCGCAGAAAATTTATCTCGATTGACAAGCTTCTGTTTGGTTAACGAGAAAACCACGTAGGGCATCCTAGCATTCCCTCTGGTTCTCGCAAATTCTCGAACTTCTCCGACAACAGTTTTGTTGGTTTATCGCTCTTCATAAGGTAAAGTACAATTGAAAACAGGGAAAACAAAACATTTATAATAATTACAGTGGTACCTCGGAATGTGAGTGTCCCTGTATGCGAGTTTTTCGGAAGACGAGCAGGATTTACTCCAAAAATATGTCTCGGAAGGCGAGGGTTACCTCGGGATGCGAGTTTGTTGATACGTGTACAGGCCGACTGGCGCGTGGTGGCATGGCGATCGCGCCTCAGTTTACCAGTGTCTCGTGTCCAGTGACTATCCCACCTGAATTCTTCACAAGGATTTACAGTTTTTTATCGGTTTTTTGGCCATTTGAGCATAAAAGTTGTCATTATATATCTTGCCATGGGTCTCAAGAAAGCCATTGGTAAGGTTCAACCTAAGAAAATAGCAGTGAGTAGAGGCAGTAGAGGATGTCCCTTCTTGATTAAGAAAATGTGTGAAGTATGGGAAGAACTGCAAAGTTTTGTTGAAAAAACTCACCCAGATAAAGCTGTAGCAGGCCGTTGCATTGACCTTTTTAATGATAATGTGATGTCTTACTACAGACAAGTGTTAAAATGTAGGGAAAAACAAGTGTCATTAGACAAATTCTTAGTAAAACAAGCAAGTCCTAGTGGTATGCAGGCAAAATGTGCCAGAGTGTGCATACCAGTGAAGTCCTCACTGCCTGATGTGATAATGGAAGGGGACTCCCCTTCCAAACAGTAACTCCTCTCTTCCTCCCACCTCCTCACCATCTTCCATACGCCTAGAGCATTCAACAGCAAGGTAAGTAATAACTTGAACATAGTTTTGTAGGTTTATTTAGATGAATTAGGTATAAAAATTTAGTTTGATGTGGGGTTTTTGGGGTAGTCAGGAACGGATTAATTCATTTTCCTTTATTTCTTGTGGGAAAATTAGCTTCGGAATGCGAGTTTTCGGAATACGAGGCGTCTCCAGGAACCAATTAAACTCTTAAACTGAGGTATGCCTGTACATGTATTATAATTACTTTATAAAATTTCATATTGATGTTTTTTTGGGAGGTGGAACAGATTAATTGTATTTTCATTATTTTAAGTGGGGAAATTCGTTTCAATAGACGAGTTTCATATGACGAACTCCTTGCCGGAATGGATTAAATTCCCTAACCGAGGTTTCTCTGTATAGTACAACCTCGATTCAACGTACCATGATTCAATGAATCTCCGGCTAGTTCGCACACTTTTCAGGCCGGATTTACTCACCCGGTTCGGTTCGCCGAAGCAAGGGATGTTCAATTTGCTTACAATGTCGAGACAGAGTTTTCACAGACTGGTGGAAAACTTTCCTGTTCTATCACATATTACAATTAGTAATTCCCTCGTATGACAAGTTTGATCACACAAGTGGACCGCACAAATGGTCCACAAGCTTACAATCTTGGGACAGAGTTCACAGAGTGGTGGAAAACTTTCCCATTCCATCACAGATTACAATTAATAATTCCTTCATAAGACAAGTTGAATCACACAAATGGACTACACAAGTGGACCACACATGTGGACCACAAGTGGTCCACAAGCTTATGATGTTGAGACAGAGTTCACAGAATGATGAAATACTCTCATTCTATCACAGATTACAATTAATAATTCCTTCATAAGACAAGTTGGATCACACAAGTGAACCACACAACAAGTGAACCATATGAACCAAACACCAGACAAAATGGTCCACACAACAAGTTAAGCATATTAACCAAACACCAGCCAGAGTGGTCCACACAAGTGAACGACTGAGTTTCCATGATTTTCGTTCACTGATTTGTGGCACACGTATCTTTGTAAATTAATTTAAAAGCTGAAGCATGATTAGCTAGCTATATGTGGAAAAATCTCCTTATAGACATTTTCTGTGATGAAACAACGATGAGTGAAGGTGGACCGATAATGGAATACTGTACTGTAAATCTTACTTGGTTTTCCTTTGTCTGTGTCGTCATAGTTCAGTGACCCATGACTTTGAAAGTTTCATATTTATAAATCATTTCTAAAATAAGTGTTTTAATAGCTTTTTATCCTAATTAAACTAAACTAAACAAAATAAAACCAAAAATATACTGTAATATGATAGACATCTGCTATTTGAGAAATTATTCATGTTATTGGAACAACTCCTCCAGCGTGAGTGGACGGGTCTAATCCTTGTACACAGCATCATGTGTGTTTTGTTCGATTTCGTCGCCACAGTTCAGTGACTCAAAATAATAAAATTAATAAATCAGTTTTAAAATAAGTTTCCTGGGGGGAGCTCTGTCGGCTTCATGGAACTATCCAGGCTGAATGAATATGTATTTTTTCTGGCATCAGTCAATACATGGAGTTCTTGCCTACCAGGGACCACGAGTCAGAACCTGGCCCACTCTAGAGAGGCACGAGGAGCAATGGCCTATAGAGACAACCTTGTGGTTGGGAGCATTCTATGTCTGCCATCGACTGGGATAGGCACCCAGAAAGGTAGGCACCCCAAAACAAACCCCTATTCTGGTAAAAGTACTGCAACCGAAAGCCGAACAGGTGGACAGAATTCCAAAACCAAAATTACCAAACTAGCATGACGTCCTCATGTCTCCACACTGCTGTGTGTGCAACCCCCTGCCTCCCTGGAAGGGGAAAGAGGAAGCCCCAGATCCAACCGCTGGTGACCCAACCTACAGTTCCTAGGCTGATGGGAGTCTGGTGCGTTTGTGCCTCTGGCTCCAGTTTCTCTGTTACAGTTCTATGCCTTGTGGTGTGGGCTGTCCCTTCAGGTGGTGTGTGAGCCGGGAGTGAGATTCCACGGTACTCGGGCTGCATGTGCCTAGGGTCACCTTCCCTAGGTGCCCTGTAAGTACTGCCCTTGGGGCTTGGGGCCTCCTTCCACAAGTCACCTCGAGATCTACCTCCGTTGTGCCGATTACTGCTCGGTTTTTGGCTGCCCCTGGAGTCAGCTGGGTATTTTTCCTTGCCCTTGTTTGTCTTCGGGTAGGGGTTAGTTTTTGTCACTGGCAGGGGCGCGGGGTATTGCACAGCTAATTTTCACCTATAACAGCGGCCGGCTCAGTTCCACCTGGGTACGTTGTCGTCTTACAGGGTTTTTCTTTTGTTTTTGTTTTCTGCCTGGTGGGGGGGGGGGGGGTCTGCTGTTGTGATCCCCTTCATTGTTCTTGGGGTATATATATATATACTTCTCCCTCTGGTGGTGGTCCTCCCCGCTTGGCCTGCATGAGTGTACACGTACTGGGGCTTTCAGCTTTTAGAGGTTTGATTGGTAGACTTGGGTAGACTTGAGCGCCGGTTTGCAGTACCCTGCCTGGGCTTCCCTTAGCGTGTAACCAAAGCTAAGGGCCCTGGAAAACTCCACGGGGACAACGTGGTCCAATGGATGTGACCCCTGAGTTTCCCCTCGCGTCTTGCGAATTTGAAGGTTGCTCTGTCCTCTTGTCTCAAGGTGACACTCGCCAGTTTTGCCTCCGACATGCTGACTGTTGGGTCAGTGATTGTTTTAATTCAGAATCGTGTGACGTGTGTTGTCTGTACGTACTCCAGTTCACCCAAGCCTCTGATAATGATATGCGGGTGCATGTTAGATTTAGGTTGCTGCAACACGCTAGGTTGGTTGCGACCTCGGATGCCCCGAGACTGCTCCGTTTTGTTATAGGGACCCAGATTTAGGGGTGGGAGTTGCTTCGACTCTGGTTCCATCTGCCCCTTCTAGGCCTTCCCGTTCTGTCATTCATTCGGTCCCTCCCTCCCTTGCTTCCGGCTCCGAAGCGTCCGAGGGTTTCGGAATCGGGGCAGGGTCTAGTTGGTATTGAGACTCGGGCGGTCTCAAGGGGTTCCCTCTCTGGGGTTGCGGTGGAGGCATTTAAGCCTGGTCCTTCTGCCGGAGCTTCTGGGTCTGGCCAGTGGGCCCCCTTCGTTCTTGCTTTTTCGGCAGTTCCCACCTTTTCTTTGGAGGTGGGGAGTTTGGAGGCCGGCTCAGCCCCGGGTCCTCAGGGCAAGGTTTCCGGGGTTGGAGAGGGGTTGGCTTGGGAGCATTGGGCCTTATTGGACCCTGCCTGGATTTTTTAGCCATCTGAGCGGGCCTTGGTGTTACAAGGAGAGGGGGTTCTCTTTCGCTCCCTACGCGTACGAACTGGACTTGGTGTCCATCCCTTCCCGGGTTCGGTTCCGTGATCCCACGGGTTCTACGGTTCCATCCTTTCGGAGGTTTCCGGCTTCCCGCGTCTCGTCTTCTGAGTTGAGGGAAGCCTGGCGGCTTATCTCCTGCGCAACTCGGATTATACCTTCGTGATGGATCCACGTTCCTTCATATCCAACTCTGCTAGTTCGTACTGAGTTCGTTATGAAGTTCCGGAGTCATCCTGGTTGACAGACTGTCCTCTTTTTTTTCGTTGGAGGCTTGGCGCACGTTCTGTCGGTCCCACTCACCTGAGTGGCGAGAGAATCAGTCGGCATTTCAGGTTTTCCTGGGGAGGGGGGGGGGGGGGCAACTTTGAGTATCTTAATGCTTATTTATACGCCCCTGTCCTTCCGCAGGATGCAACCTGCGGAAGTTGCAGGAACCTGCAACTTCACGTGCAGGTTCCTTCCCTTTTGGCTACCTTGGTGGCAGAGAATTTGCGTACTTGTGCCCTGCTTGCTTCAGCCCTGCGGTTCTTTTCCTCTCCTTGAGCTGTCCTTAGACTGGCTTGAGTTGGATGTGGAGGCTCTTGAGGCCACTGTCGGGTCCGGTGCACTGCCGGGTCCGGTGCACTGCCCTCCACGGTGCGGGCATCGTCTGCTTTGCGCTCCACGGCTTCAGTGGCCGGGGATGCGCTTTGGGTTGACCCGGCTTCCCTTCTTCTCTGTTCCCGGGCTTTGATATCTCAGGTTGTCTGCAGGGTTATTAAGTCTAGCCAGTCTGCGGTTTATCCCTTTGCCCACGACGTGCGTAAGTTTGCTGCTTTGGCTGCTGTCTTTGGCAACATGTCTTGGGTTTACATTCGTGTGAGGGGTTTTTGGAGGTCGAACAGGGGTCCTGGCTGCTCGCTACCTGGTGAAAATTCCGGGGCCAGGTAGGGCCTGTGTTGCCATGGGTCGGAGGTTGCAGCCAGTTGTCTCGACTTCGTGTTGAGGAGTGAGGACTAACCGCCTCCCGGGTAAGTCCCTATTTTCCTTATCTTTGGGTAGTTAGCTCCAGGGAGCCGACAGGGCTCCCCCCAGGAAACCAGCGTTGAATGTAATGTAATACCATTTTCGGGGTGAGTCCTGGAGGCTCCCCGGCATCCCTCCCTCTCTCCAGTCGGCAGTATTTTTTGTGTATTTTTACATCCAGCCTAAGAACTGTAGGTTGGGTCACTGGCAGTTGGGTCTGGGGCTTCCCCTTTTCCCTCCCAAGGAGGAGGGGGTTGTGCAGACAGCGGCGCAAAGACGTGATGACGTCGTGCTATTTTGGTAATTTTTGTTGGAGGAGTTCTGTCCACCTGTTTGGCTTTCAGTCGCAATAGTTTTACCAAATTAGGAGTTTGTTTTGGGACGCCTACTTTTCTGGGTGCCTCTCCCGGTCAATGGCAGACATAGAATGCTCCCAATCAGAGGGAAGTCTCTATAGGCCATTGCTCCTCGTGCCTCTCTAGAGGGGATGGGGGGGCAGGTTCTGGCTCATGGTCCCCAGTAGGCAAGAACTTCATGCATTGACTGATGCCAGAAAGATATACATATCCATTCAACTTGGATAGCTCCGGGAACCTCCAGGACTCACCCAGAAAATGGCGTTTCATTACATTCGACGCTGGTTTTTTATATCTCTTATTATCCTAACAATGTTATTAAACTAAATATATAACACAAAAGTATATAATTTGATGTAAATCCAATATTTGAGAGAAATTTGTTACTGGATCTGGCTTAAATACCAGCCTACTGCAGGATGTATAGACCTAGTCTGTGTTCATTCAGTAGGCACCCAGTGCCGTTAGCTTTGTCTGCGAGTGACGTGTTTGTCCGCCGTTGGAAGAATATTCGTAATAACCCACCAGCTTTTATCAACACTTAAGGATGATGAAAGATATTTGTCGGAAGGACATGACGAAAGGAAGGAAACAAACAAAAATGAGTCAATATTTTTCACAAACTAGTAGCATAAAATCAACCAGCACAGCCGTACCCAGCACCAGCATAACAGCAGCCTGCTCCAGCTCAGAAGTAGCTGAAGCTAACACAGCAGCAGCGAGCACCAGCAAAGCTGATGCAAACATCTAAAAACATCGTATGTGGAGTGAACAGTTAGAACAAGTGTTTCGTTTAAGTGTGTACATAACGTTAAAATTAAATTTGCATTAGTTTTAGTGTACAATAGTTTTCATAAACTGTATTGTAGTACTCAACATACAGCAGAACTACTTAATCAACACAGTGCTAACAGCATAATACAGAACAGTACGTATTTACTGTATAACATTCACAACGTTATGAGACTTCAAGATAGACATAACTCCAACAATAAGGTAAATAACAAATGTAACATAGTATTTTTTAGTAGAGTAGTAATATATAGGTACAGTATATAATATGATAATGCATTTTTATCATGTACAAGAGAAAAAAAACACTGATGCAAACGTCTCCTGAAGGTCACCACTTGCAACGAATCCGACGTTCCAACACACTGGAGTTGGTCCCATATAGTGCATTGAATCGAGGTTGTACTGTATATTGTTTGAAGTTTTCTTCAATTACCCAAAATTTAAGTGTTTCTGGACACTTACAGGTACCAATTCTATGAATAATTGGGGCTGCATTGCTTTTTCATGTTTTTTGTTTTTTATGTTCCCTTTTCACTACTTTTATTGTCTTTGCAGGTTTTTATAGAAGAGAGTGATGGAGATGCAATGGTGGAAGATGTGACGCCATATTTGAAACTGATAACTGCGAAATATGGAGTTCGACAGCCAAAAAAGGAAGGAAAATGGGTACATATTAAAAATAAATTGATATTCGTATTTACCTGACATATTATACTGTAATTGTGGCAGAGTAAATGGGATAATAATTTGAGTTGTCAACAATTTACTTCATTTAACCCTTAAATGGCACCTGGCTATTTAGCATGTGTCAACCACAGGGACACACCAAATAAAAAAAAAAAAAAATTCTTCTAAACCTGTTAATTTGTGTTCACTGATCATGGGAAAAATAATAAAAAGATCGTAAGTGGCATATATTGCCTGTTATAGGGTGGGGAAGTATGGCAAAAAAACAGGCGCTGACTCAGCGTGCGTCCTAGATGGTCTATTGCTCGCCAGCTGTCAGACAGGAGTGGCCACAGAGATAATTACCTAATTATTGTAATGTCTCTGATTGATTTTTCATAGTTTTTTGCTGTAATGTTATTCAATAATGTGTAGTGGGATATATTTATGTGTGAATCATCGCTGTACTAAAAATATGCTGTGCATATTATTGATTCAATTATGTTCATCAAACAGTGAACAAATACTTTGTCGGTTATTACACTATATATACAGGTTATATATATATAAATATCTGCATGTTTTGTTCACCATAACAAACCACTAAGTTGCTATTGTGAGTCAAAAAGTAATGAGGAGTGACCGCCACACACCAGCCAGCCACTCACTCTCTCAACACCTCACTCGCCCACATTCTCCTCCCACCATACTGTTTTTGCTTTTATTCACTTTATACAGACGTTATATATAAGTATCAACATTCGTGTTCACCGTAACGAACCACTATTTTGGCATGCTGAGTGGCAGCCCACCACTGGCTGCTACTTCCTCCCTCCCTCAAGTCACCTGACTCACCCACATTCTCCTCCCACAATACTGTTTTTGCTTTTATTCATTATATACAGACGATATATATAAGTATCTACATTCGTGTTCACCATAACGAACCACTAAGTTGGTATGCTGAGTGGCAGTCAGTGGCAGCCCGCCACTGGCTGTCACTCCCTCACCTCACCTGAATTGCCACAATTCTCCTCCCACCATACTGTTTTTTCTTTTATATACAGACTTTTATATATAAGTATTTACATGTTTTGTTCACCATAACTGTACATCTAAGCTTGTATGGTGAGTAAAGGCACAAAGACGTAGCTACTCACACAGTCAGCTTGTGGTGGCCACCCTCAAGGCCAGACACACTAATATTTGTCCTACAACAATACTGTTTGTGGTGTTATTACGCTATATGCACACATTATAAATAAGTATCTACCTGTTTTATTCACCATACTTGTACAAGTAAACTGGTATGGTGCCCAAAGACCATAGAGGTCACCAGTAAACAACATGATAAGTCATGCAGATGACACACCTCCCTCACCAAAATGGCAGCTCCCAACCTACTCCTATTGCTGTTATTACACTATACACACGTTATATATATGTATCTACGTTTGTGTTCACCATAGCAAATCACTACGCTGGTATGGTGAGTGCAGTCAATAAAAGGTGGCCACACACAGTCAATGCCACCACCCTCCATCCCACAGCATTACTCCTCCCTCCATGGAACACAGCACTAAATATCACCACAATCCTGCTATTATCAGAACACTGGTCAGTTTTATCACAGTCAGGGGTCTTCTGTAATAATATCACCGCTAAATAATAGCAAGAACATGTTTATTATGGCATTTTTAGGCGATGCTTCGGTCACAAGCTGAACAGCAGTGCTGTGAGCTCATGCTGCGTGTGTCAGGCTTGGTAGCTCACTCAATACTGAGGCCCCCTCACACCCGGGAATTTGGCCCGCAATTTAAAAAAAAAAATGGCGTCTGTTTACAAGAGCCCTGATGAAGGTGTGGGTGAACTCAGTGTATCCGCGGACCGTTTAAATCTTGCATAGTACTCCAAAACATCATATGATGCGGAGTGCAAGTTACTGCAAGTCAATCAACTCATCATATGATGTCTTGCGCAACTAAAGGGTTAATATTGTTTGAAATTTTCCTATTGAGACAGTTATAAAACAAAAAAATATGAACACAGATACAGGTACAAATAATGATACCACTTTTACCAATGTTTAATTTGTTTGCCCTTCATATTCAAGCTATAGTTTACACAATTAAGTTTAGAAGTGCCAGGAGGCAGAAGTCACTGCAGCAGGCTCCAGGAATATCAAATTGCCTAATTATTGGGAACAGTTTGAGGGCTATTAGTGGTGTCCCAGGTTACATAAAGGTATAGGGAAGTTTAAAAGTAAATAAGATACAAGAAATAAGTAAAAGTGAGTGTAAATTGTGCGTTGAAAAGTTTATATACCAAAACAAATGATTGTCAATAACAAAGATGGCCGCCACCACAGGGAAGGTAAACAGACTAACAGATGATTGTTTCCAAGGATTCTCACCACAAAATATATTGAAAGGAGTTTTCTTGGCAGGGTTAGAGATTATAGAGGACATGCTAAAAAAGTATGAAGAAAAAGTCTTGAGTTAGAAGAAGAGAATGAAGCTCTCAGGAGTGAGTTTTGCACTTTAACCCTTAAACTGCGCAAAATGTCATATGATGTGTGACATTGAACAGTTAAAACATTTTAAATTTTCTGAAACTCTTTCAAATCTTTTGTACATAATCTACTATGCAAATGCTCCAAACTTTGTCTAAATGATACCAGTGTAACTTGAAAAACAAGAAAAAAAAAAAAAAAAAAATTGATTATTGAAAAATTTCTGATTTTGAAATCAGCTTCAAAAATATAAAAATATCACCAACTGTTCATTTGGTGTTATTATGCTCTCAAAATAGCATATGATCTTCATTTTCATATATTTAGAATATAGGTTTTCAGTATAGGTTACTGTAAAAAAAAATATTGTCAATATGGCATTTGAAATATGCACAAATTTAGACAACAAAAATTTATACCTTCAAACGTTTAGAGTTTATGAAAAATCAATTCTATAGGGATTGTAGAACAGACAGCTGTGCACACTAAATGTAAAAATGGTGAGAATCGGTCAGAAACTAGATTTTTGGATACTGAAGTAAGTTGAAATTCTAGCTATAGATATAATTGAAGTAGAAGTTATTAACAATGGTATAAGGCAGTTCTAATTCATGAATTTACTTGTATGTTGTAATAAACATTGTTTGGCCTTCGTACTCAAGTATGTGAAAGTTGTAGGTCAATGTGTCTAGAAATGAAGTCAAGAAAAATAACCAACCAAAAAAACAAAATATAGGGATAATTATAATAATTTAGGGAATATATTTAGGGTATACTTTATATAAGTAAAAAAGCCCTAATCTGGTCCCTAATCATCAAAACAACATAAACAAGGAAAATAGAGTTTGAAATCGATGAAAAAATCACCCCAAAAAAAATTCAAAGTGCCAAGTTCTGAGAGTTGTAACTGATTTATTTGTTGACCAATTTCATTCTGGCTATCCATAGTTAGGAACGAGTATGCACTCTCCAGGATGTAAAGGTTGAAGCAAATTCAAATAATAAACAAAGGAGGAAAAAACCTAAAAACCTAAAAAAAAAAAAAAAATCCCCTAAAAAAAATTTGGACATTGTTGAAAGTAACTCATAATAACATTGGGCAATGTACTTATATGATATATAACAAAATAGAGCATAATAACATAATTAATCATTATCATATGTGTTATTATGTATTACTCACCAATGCTATAAAGGCACCAGCTGAATATCCACTTTGTGGACACTTCTTACTACTATTCTTCTTCTTTGTGCATCGAACAGGTGCTTGCATAACTTTATTATTGCATTATCCATCAGTTCCAGTTAATAGGAGCTTTTTTTTTTTAAATATTCGTCTAAAATCAATTTCTGAAAATGTTTTGATGAAAGTTTCACAAAGCTGAAGCCAATAAGTTTGAGATTTGTTTAACATTTTTAAGTAATTTTTACATAATTCAAATATTTTTTGAATTATACCCCCCTCCCCATTCAATGTCACATCATATAACGTTTTGCGCAGCTTAACCCTTCAGTTGCGCATCGCATCATATGATGCTTTGACCGACTTGCAGTAAATTGCACATCGCATCATGTGATGCTTTGGAGTATTACGCAAGATTTAAACGGCCCGCGGATACACGGGGTTCACCCACACCTTCATCAGGGCTCTTGTAAACAGACGCCATTTTTTTAAAAAATCGTGGGCCAAACTCCTGGGTGTTATTGGCCTCAGTATTGAGTGAGCAACATAGCCTGACGCATGCAGCATGAACTCACAGCACTGCTGTTCAGCTTGTGACCACAGCATAGCCTAAAAATGCCATAATATTCTTGTTCATGCTATTATGTAGCGATGATATTATTACAGAAGACCCCTGATTGTGATAAAACTGACCAGGGTTCTGATAATAGCAGGATTGTGGTGATATTTAGCGCTGTGCGCCATTTAGGGAGGAGGGTAGTGGCGTTATCTTCTGACTGTGTGTGGCCACCTTTTATTGACTGCACTCACCATACCAGCTTAGTGGTTCGCTATGGTGAACACAAATGTAGAGACTTATATATAACATGTGTATAGAGGGTATAAACAGCGAGAGGAATAGGTTGGGAGCCACCATTTTGGTGAGGGAGGGAGCGTCGTTTGCAGGACTTACCATGTTGTTTACTGATGACCACGATGGTCTTTGGGCACCATTCCAGTTTACTTGTACAAGTATGGTGAATAAAACAGGTAGATATTTATATATAATGTGTGTATATAGCATAATAGTACCACAAACAGTACTGTTGTAGGAGAAATATTAGTGCGTCTGGCCTTGAGGGCGGCAGCCATCAGCTGACTGTGTGAGGTCCTACGTCTTTGTGCCTTTACTCACCATACAAGCTTAGATGTACAGTTATGGTGAACAAAACATGCAGATCCTTATATATAACCTGTATATATATAGTGTAATAACCGACAAAGTATTTGTTCACTGTTTGATGAACATAATTGAATCAACAATAT